AGGAGGTTATCGTCCTTTACATGAGAAACTTACGTAGAGCTTTTTAGATAAAATATCATAAAGTACATCAAAGAGTTAAATATCGAAGGGGGGATACATCGCTCGTAAACCATCGTGAAATATAGTGCCTGAGCGAGCGTGACGAGTAACAAGTGTCGCCGTTTAATTAGATGGTATAAATTGAAGACGTGTTCGCAAAGGATAGATCGACGTCATCGACGATGCTCGCCTCACTGACTCGCAAAACGACGATGCATAACGCACAAGCACGCACGCATCGTGGGCGCCGTTAAGCGCGGGATGTCAACGAGGGTTGTTGTCACCAATTAATGTACACGCGATGGCTTAAGATCACTCGAACGAAACGATCGGGACGTAAATAAATTTCCACTGAACTTTCACCTTTCGCAACTAAACCGTAATGAATGGCGGACTGTGACAAGCGAACGTTTTCAACTATCAAATGGATTTCGCAGGAGACGTAATAAATTACATATATCAACGATGCACAAATTTCGATAATTATTATAATTTAATATTCGGCTAATCCCTTTACTGTGCAAGCACATCGTGCTTTCACATGCATTTTTCCATCGATTTTAGCAAATGAGAGTAAATGAAATACGTCGTCAAAATAATTACGTATACGATTCATGCATATTTTTAATATTGTAGAGCATATCAATTTTAATATTATCTTATTTTCTATTTTAGAGAAGGAAATATATTACGGATAAATTACGTGTTTCGTAATATTTTTGTTTTCATGGTCGAACAGTCGCGTATAAGAAAGATTCCATCACCGGACCGTGCGTGAACTCAAGTTATTTCGATGCAACGGGACTCCTTTTTCAGGTAAGAGAGGCGACATGTACACGCGCATTAACGTGAATCCGATTCGCGCGCCTTATTGTACGCAGCGCGCCGTTATACCCCTCAAACGTGCCACCGGTACGAATTCGGGTGCCATTAACGGGCGCATTCAATTTCCACGGGATCGACAAAAGCGTCGAATTACAAATTCAAATCCCCGGCACGTGTGCCAAATACGCCGGAATTCTTTTCGCGCCAATCCACCTGTAAAATGTTGCGCGCGGTGTGCTTATAAACCATCGTTCTATTCCGGCGAAAATGAATTCCCGACCGCACAAAAGCAAGGTGGAATCGTGAAAAAATTTCACGCGATCAAATCATATTTCTCTCTCTCAAATTAATTATTATATATTTATAAAAATATTATATTATTCTCCCCCCCCCTCCGATCATACAATTAAAAAAATTAGTTTTATTTAATTAGAATTATTAAACTAATTATTAAATTAGAATTTTAAAAAATAGTTTTTATGTAATATAATTATCTTTTCTCGAACAAATTTTCTAAATTTGAACAATTTTTGTTATAGCTTTTTTTCTCTTATAGTGAATATACAACTCATTAAAAAGTTAACGGATGTTTTTCATGTCGTTAATTTGTTTCATACATTAAAAAATTCATGATCGGACAACGATTCTTTTCTAGTAATTAGAAGTAGTCTGTGTGTCCGCGGGCGATCGATCCTATCGCTAATTCGGATCCAACTACTAGCTGTCGAGCGCGCTCTTAAAGGGCACTCGAGTAATCGCCACCCACGTGTGCCAGACGGTACGAAAGTTCCGCATAGGCTCGCACCCGGAGACCAAGTAGTCGAGAGAGCGAGAGAGAGCACTCGAAACGTGTACCGAGCTTAATTAGGGGTACATCAGAAGTGGACGAGAGACCATGGACGTGCCACGTGTTTCTTCCAGGGCGATACGTTCGTTCATCGTATACATACACACACATACACGGATAAACTTTGCCAGTTCTCCAGATTGTTCGTGCATACGTGTGGACGCACATACGTACGTGTGAGTCTCGTTCTATGGACATGTTTGGCCGGGAGTGCCTTCTCCGACTCCGAAGTGTTTGCTCTCGTTGGTGGAACGAACGGTCGTTCGGTTTATCGGTCCGTCTCTCGGGCGCGCGAACCCCCCATAGAGAACGCCATAAGGGCCCAGACGGACGCGATACTCGACTCGTTCTTTCCGCACGAATCGCAACGAGGGTGTTTAGGGCTGCCGTGACCGGCCCGCGCGATTCCGGATGTGTGCGCTTTGCTATCAAGCTCGCAATTTCAGATCGATATTTGAGCCGGCGACAGGAAACAGCAGTATATTTTCTCGTTACGCGAAAATATTTGTGTAAGTATTTAATGTAAAACCCGGCTTTTTTTTTTATCGTAATACTTGTTTAAAATTGTAAAATTCTAGCTCATACACACACGCTAAAATGATTCGTTTATCATGAAACCCGATTTGATTATTTTTCGCGAAAATTCATCCGCTGTCGAGTTTGACAATATAAATACACAATTCACCGCAATTTAACGCAGTCTATATCGTCGGGAATTATTTTTGCATTTTTAACATCGCTTCAACAGCTCTGCATGAATACGTTAGTTGGTTCTCGATTGAGTTTATGACTATATAAAAATCATAGCACGCACACGAGCTGACATAACTACTACCAGAAATGCGATAAAATGTTACGATCAAACAAACGAGTAATTATTTTTATCATCGTTTCGAACGATTATCCTGTCAATTTCGGTAGAGAGTCGAGATCCGCCGATGTATCAGCGAGCGCAACGACAACAAATTAAGTAAGAGCCGTGATTCACACACACACAAAGTAAATCGCGGCGAATGCGAGAGGGAAATCCGAGTGAAGTAACATGGGGGGTTGAAAAGCGAATGAAAACGGCGTTCGAATAGATTGCTAGCCAGAAAGGAATTTATTAGGCTGGGAGAGTACACTCGCAATAAACCGGGTGTCATCGGAATCTACGAGGTTGGTTACGACGATGGTGGCAACTACCAGACACCCGCAGCCACCGGCGGCCACCGTTGCTGGTTAGCCGTCAGTGGCTGCACCGAGCGAGATGATTTAATGCCCGGGACTGCCCCACCCTGGAATGCGCGAGATTTTCAAAAATAATATCGAGCATCCGCAATCCGTTCCGAAAGATATCACGCGCTATCCGAATACATTATCGCGTATTATCCTCGTCAGCGATTTTTCGATTAAATCTGCGTTTTGGTATTGTGGAAATATCTTTTTCTCGAGATCTGTGTGTGTCTCGAATTAAGTAAAGATAAGATGCGATTTGTTACCTCAATTAATAACAATCCCCACCACGAGAAATCATTTCAAATATATAACGTAACTAAGTACATAATTTACTACTATAATCCAGAATTTTTATTGATCTCATCAATTAACAGAAAGTTAATATTAAAAATGAAAAGTACTTAATTAATGTTATATTAACATCTTTACTTGCGAAAATCACTCGCAGCAAATCGTAAACAAAAAATCATATAATAATAATATATGAATTGTTATAATTAATTGCTCAAAGATATGCAAATAGAGTCTAAAAATATTAAATTTTTATAAATGCATCAATATAGAATACTATAATCATATAACAATCAAATGTTTTTGTCCAAAATGAAAGGCTAATAATATTAGCTTGATATTAAATTATTTTCCGAATTAATTGATAGAGAAAGAAAAATTCTCATTAATCCGAATTTATTATTATTTATTATTATTCGTGAAACAAGTTTAAAAAATAATAAACACGTTACATATTACACAATAATAACTGAATTATTACCGCGAAGATAAGCGAGCAATTAATTTTACAAATAACGAATTAACCAAATTCTGATTTACTGACCTGCCTACAGTTGCTTTAACATCGTTCGATGTTTCTCCTTCTCATCTCTTGTTTATTCTCTCCTTTGCTGCTGCTTCGTGGCACTCACTCGCGAAAACACTAATTACGATCGTTCGCGTAAACTAATCAGATGATCGCCTGGCACTTTATATAGTGTCCTCAATATCATACAATTATACTATACTATATACTATATACTTATACTATAATTTTATCTTGATACCACGTTAATGGCTAATTACGATGTGATAATCGCGAAAATTAATCGACGGCTGACAATCTTTAAATATTCGATATTATCGTTTGGCAAGTTTAAGGTTATGTTCCAAAACATCCTTTCCAAGGAAAATTTACTCGATGACCTGCTTGAAGCCAATCGGAAACGCTCAAAAAAGTTTCGAAACTATCAAGTAAAATTTTCCTCGGGGAGAACTGTTTGGAATATAACCTTAATACGCAAATACTTGTCGCACAGAGACTCGCGTCCTTCCCCCCCTCAAGTTCTGCCGCGCGAATGATAATAAGACCGTCGCACGTAAGTAATAGCGCGTTAAAAGTTATTGAATGTTTACAATGTATAGTTTAACGCTATTATTTATGCTATTATTTACGTAAAGTATAGTGTGGAACGTTTAAAATATGAAACCATCGCGCACGTATATGTGTCGTATTATCTCCCGGAATACGATCGTGACATCTAGTAGATACTAGGAAATACTAATCGTGATTATTTCGTATGAATAATTGTGGAGATTGTTAGCTCGTACAATTAATTAACTCCCGCGATTGACTAATTATAAGCGTTTCGAGCCAATGGCTATTTATCCAGATAAATATTGAGGACACGATCTATATTTCAAGTAAGAATGACAAGAGAAAGGAATTATTAAATTATATCGTTTCACTGCGATATAAATACGAGCGATAATTATTTCTTTAATGATATTTGGATTCGAATTATATTACGATTTCTATCTCTCATTTTCAGATTGATAACGCGCAGTAATACGAATTCAAATAGCGAAATGCCACGATATATCTCATCGCGTCTGTGAATAATTAATTTGAAATTCAAGAACTTCTATAATTTATTCGATCATTTTGTGACAGCTATCGAGATTTTATCGACGAGTATTCGCGCCTTGTTGCCATTAACTGTATAAGATTCTTTATCAAAATATGTAGATTTTTGAAAAATATTTTCGAAAAATATATAGGAAGAAGGGGGGTTTTCGAAAACAATGAAAGATCCTTGAAATCCTCCTCAGAACAGGAAGAAATTCAAAAAATGTGGTCCAAATAAAGAACATCCGCGTAGCGCGTCAGAACACGTCCGTTCCCATCCACGGGCGACAACAAACTGTCGAATATTCGTACGTATTAATTTTGTAGCACGTTAAATGTTTTTTACTGTCTTCAATGGATTAACTGTTACGCATTCCTCGCGATGTAGACAAACGCTATTATAAACAATCGCTTTGTTGACATTCCTGCGGCGAAGCTCGAGCACGAAGGACATTCCTGCGGCGAAGCTCGAGCACGAAGGACGCAAGACTCTGTGCGTCGTTGTATTATTTCTCGAAATATAATTTCGACAAATATCAAGTGCCAAATACGATCAACGAAAAATTAAAGATTGTCAGCCAGCGGGAGTAATTAATTCTCGCAATAATCGTGTCTCTGAATTAATCGTACTGTCCGAATAAAGTTGCCGATGCCATTTTTCGATTTCTTACTCATTAATAAAACATCGCGGACACATAAAACGATTTGTTTCATTATGGCAATACGTATAATTAATAAATACAGTCGTTATTAATTCCGCATTTTAATGTTTCTCCATTGCCAGTCGAATATTCGATCTTATATATCAATGATTTCGTGAAACTCGTATTTTATCGAATTTAATCGCGCGAGTTAATAAAACAATAGTATATTCTTAGACTATATATAATTATTTATTTTTATCTTGTGTTATAATAAGAGATAAGAAAATACGTACGTATACTATCTGTTAAAAATAGAGATAGACCATATACGGTCCATTACAGATAGAGATAGCAATGTAAATGCGACGCAACTTTCAATGCCGAATCATAACTTCGTGTAATAGTTTTTGGTTTTCGCATAATTTTGTCACTGTATAAAATAAAATACATCGCGTGTGAGATAAACTGAGAATATTATGTAAAGTGCGATCGTCGTATTCTGGTGATTAGTGCGCGCGTGATCATAATTAATCGTTTTCGCACAAATGAATGTCGTGTGAGTGCCATAAAGGAGCAACAAAGGAGACGACAAACAAGAGAGAAGATGGTCCAAAAAGGCATTAAAAGACAGCAACCATGAGGTAAGCAATTTATAAATTTATTAATTTAATATTTATCATTTGTAAAATTAATTTCATTTATTTTCGCGATGATAACTCAATTTACATAATTGTGTAATATGTATAAAATATTTTAGATCTCTTCTTCTAAAATATATTCTCAAAATATCATTTAAAACACTTTATATTACAAATTAAAAACTCATTTCATGAGCATTAAATTTTTGAGTAATATCCTGAAAGCAATTCGTCCAAAAAACATTTTAATATTAAAATTTAAAAAAAAACATACATTAATTTTTTTAATATACTTTGTTCTTGTAAGCTAAAACATCACCACACTTTTTTTTAATTGTAAGTTAAACGATAGGCAATAAATTCGGTATTAAACAATTTTCTCGAAAACAATAAATTTGGAAAACATTTTAATATATTAAAATCATAGAAGAGTAATTAATTGCATTAACATAATTTTAGCAATATAGTGCTCGGCGAGTTTTTAATTAATTTTTAAAATTATTTCGCGAGTAGCAAATTCATAAATATTTCGGTAGCAATTAATTGTTAACAATATTGTTAACATTTTACTCTTCGTCACTTTACCATGTTACATGATTATAGTATTTTGTATATGTGTATTTCTACGTAACGTGTTGCATCTATAAAAATATAAAATTTTTTATCTCTTTCTTTATTATAAATTTTCAGCTAATTGACAATAAATTCGGAATTAAAACAACAAAATTAGCTTTTAATTAAGTTATAGATAAATTCCATTTCTCCATGTATGTACGTGTATGTGGATAAGGGTACTAAGTTAATGAAGATCGATTTTTTGTAACTTTTTGAAATTAAATCTGGTAATTAGATTTTAAATTAAAGTCTTGAATGAGGTAAGAGATAAATTCCCTCTCGCCACGAGTATTCTTAACGCAGATTTATCAAGATTTTTCTAAATGTGTTTATTTGATTTTATTTGATTTTTTTTATTTTTTTTTTTATATAGAATATATAAACATTTCATCATGATAGTTTTGCAAATCATTTAATCGATGCTAAATAGCGCAATATTTCAACGTTAATAATCAATGTTTCATTTTTAACATAAGACATTTAAATAAAAGAATTTTAAAGGTACTTTTAATCGAAAAATTTTAATATGATAATGCTGCGATTATCATAAACTCATCTTTTTTACAGATAAATAATCGACCAATATCATTTCAATGTTCGACAATAGTCTAATAGTGCGGTCAGTGAATGAACAAGAATGGTAAGAATTTGAATGCGGCCCTGAGAGTAGCAACCGGCCTGCGTCGAGGACACCAGGTACGAATATATTAAAGGTTCTGTTCCCAACGGGTGGCTGCCGGCCGTGTCCGGACGTGTCATATTAGGATAACCAGGTCTCCAGGATTCCATACCTCGTCCCCCGCTTCGTTTGCGACGCGAGGATCCGGCATGATACACGCGCAGGTGTGTGAGGGGTTATTAAAATTCTCGAATCTCGAACTGTGCGGCCTCTCTTCCGTTTTCCAGTTCGTGTTCATAAATTATTCACTATTCTCTTCGACATCGGGAGTTTTCGAGCGGTCTCCATACAGTATTCCAGTCATCCGCAGATCACATACGTATTAACTCCTATTGTTAACTTTCGAGATACTATTTAAAAAAAGAAGCGCCAGTCGCGAAGGCTTGCTTTCGGGAAAATAAAAAAGGGAGAGAAGGGAGACGAGACGCTGGAGATCGATATTACTGCTTTCTCGCGTCGAATGGTAACACTGTGTTTCAAACCGTTATCCTCTAATTGCCTAACAGAACATTTCCGAGATACATATCCTAGATTGTCGGATATCGCGCGTTCGTGTTTCAAACAGGGCCGATACCGGATCGTCGAGACACCACTGACATCTGGCCCGATATAGGTGACAAAGAACCTGGCTAATCGTGGTAAGCCGACCAGTAAATTAGCGCTGGTAGGGTTGTCCGTGAAACCGGTAAGCGATGAATCGGCACGGACGACCACGAAGGCCGTCACCGAATCTTTTAATGGGCATTCGCATTTTTCAACTTCCCACGTTTAGCTGGACCCGGGTATAGACTCGTCCCTAAGCCATGTGCGCGCTCGTAAATTAGATTTTTGCGACGATGATTTGTTTGGCCGCTATACCGCGCCTCGTCGCCGAGAATCGCAATAATGATGAAGAAAAAAGAAATGTTCAGAAACACACACATCTCAAACCACCTATTTATAGAAACAGATTTGGAAAATTTAAAAAAGATTTCAAAACTATTCTAAAGCGAATTTTACGAAAGAGAAGAAATAAAATAAAGTGTATATTAAAATTAATTATTTGATTGCACCGTTTAAGATATCATAAAATTTTTTAGATTTTTTAAAGTCTCGTCTCATGTTAATCGACAGACATATTATATTTGCGCTGTCGTTAATTGATATACGTTTCATATAATATTCATATATTGCCAGTAATTACGTTCATAATGACATTAATTCCAAGCTGAAATGCAATTAAAGCGCGGAATACTAAGTCAAGTTAGTCGAATAAATTTAACTTTGAAGCTTTCACATAGTCTCTGAAAATCGTAAAGTAATCGGAGAATATTTAATCGGATTGTATACGCAACGCATTAAATCATCAAATTTAATCTGTGCATAGCACAAAAAATTTGCACGGTTCATCAAAAACACATTACTTTAAAAAGAGAAAAGCTGGAAACAAGGAGACGTATTAAATTAAAGCCACAAATCCATCAATATAATTAAAATAAAAATGCTAGAAAATAAAAAAGAGAAGAATGATTTAGAATCCATGAAAAAAATGTTTTACTAAGGACTCACGTCGAGCGAATTCGCTAAAGGCAATTTCACCCCGAGCAGTGAACTGCGTAAAAGCGCTACAAACGCGCGTATTGTCGAGGAAAGGCTGGTCGAATTCCGTTAAATATACGCATAATTACCCCCCGTGTTCTCGCGCATTCGTACAATTTGTACAAACGCTCGTATGATCCCATCGATGTCGCTCGCGAGCCGCCGTCAAAGGGGAACGATGGTTTATTAAGAGAGAAATAGGGGGGAGGGGGGATTAATATCGAAATGTACCACCAGCGGCGATAACTCCGACTGTCTTTGATGTCGCATCTCGTTCTGTGTCACGACGGACAATAAAATGGCCGAATGGAATCTCGTTTTCACGCCCGTTTGCTACAGAGACACGCGAGTAGCCTCTCCCGGATTTCTACGAGTAAAGCGCACACGGTCACCGGAAATGCATCCGGCCGTGATCGTTGTTGGCGAATGATTTATAATAACGTTAATAATCGTACGGTAGAGAGAGCGGATAAATCTTAGGTGTTAAAAATAAAATATACGCCATATCCATATTTATATACCTACACTATTCAGAGAGAGAGAGAGAGAGGGAGAGAGATGATGATGATGTATTGCGCAGAAACGTGAAAAGATAGTAATACTTAACTGGAGAATTTATGTACCTCATAATAATTATACTAGAAATAATTATTTCACGCTTAGAATCTCAAGATTGTTTCTCGTCACTCGTGCATTATACTTTTTCTATGCCGAGTGTATTTTTCTCAGCGAAAATTCAGACTGTTTCTTAATTTAATTTACTTATAAATGTGTATGATATATAAATGCTAACATTTAATTTTTACTTTACAATAGAAATGTCAATAACTTCATTCTTTAATAATAAATTTTACAAATTCCCTTTTTTATTCGAATTATCGATTTATGGTTTACTTTAATGTATCAAATATATTTAATATCGAGTAGATGTTAAAGTAATTTCGATCGTAAAAGCATTGTAAATGGGATCCGTGTTTTCTTGTCCGTTTCTCCGGTAACGGTAATAACCGAGGAAGGAATCGAAACTTGTCCAGCGGGACAAATCGCCTTCCTCAAGACGATACACGAGCATATCTGAAATTCCGTGGAATCGACGATCGATAATCTGGCCGGATCTTTTGTTCGGTGGCGCGTGCCTCCGCTTCGACGATGTGAGTTAGGCAACAGACTGTAGATTTACACCTTCCGCCACGTGGTTATAATCCTTACGAGGCGGAAATGGCGTCAAGCTCTCTCGGCCACGAATACGAGTAATATAGTCATCAATTTCGCGTGTAAATGAGATTTCTCATAATCTAATTAATTTATTGCAAAAAAATACGAGTTCGCGTAAGTTTTAAAGAGTATGAGTTAGAAATACACAGAGACGTCGCGACATTGAACCGATAGAAATTATTGAGAAATTTACAGTAAAAGTTTAAAGAGAGGAAAATTAATTGGAATACTTTGTTACAAAGCGATGTAACTTTTTATTTGGAAAGAAATATAACGGTGACGTGAGACAGAACGAGGGAGAATGGATCGGAAATATCAGCGGTTAAAGTTCGAAGCGGGTAAAGTTTCGCGTATCATTCTTCCGGCCAACTTTAATTCCGACCAGGCCACTAGAGCGATTTCTTCGAGAAGACGCGATTTATTCGAGCCATTTGTGACCCGGCACAGAATCGATAATTGCCAGATGGAGTGAACATTTTTATTTACTACTCACGCGGCCCATGATTGGTTAAAGTTATATCGACAATTCTCTTAGGTGTCTACGTGAACGAAGTTGAAAATATCGTTAGCGAATTGAAGAGAAAGAATTTCACTTAATATTTATTCCTTCGAATAGAAAGAGCAATCACACACAACAATAAAAATTATTACATCTTATTAATAATTTTCTAAATTAAAATTTTTTGAAAATTTCAAATTTTTGACCAATCAATCGTCGAAAAAGTAGCGCAAATACAGAGATTGTAAATCATTCGATCAAGCGAAGAAAAAATTTTGCTAGGATCCTTAACTCTTGAAGTTTCATTTAAACAAGTCTATATCTTGTCTCCTGATCTTAATCCCTCTGACAGAACAGAATGCGGATATCGCGAATCGACGAAAGCCATTTTTCTCTCCCATCCGTTGCCCCCGAGTGCGAATTCTGATTGGATCCGGCCACGTCGAGCGCATGCGTGACCACGCGCTCCATGCGTATATATCTCACTTAATGCGTCGGAATCAAACGCGCGTGCGCTGCGATGCGTTCCGCGTACGCGCGAAAGAGACACCGATAAGCAAGAGGCCGTTCACTCATCTCTGGCAATTAGCTGCCAAAAATTCACTAGCCCCTAATTAGATTGAGAAGAGACTTCGAAAGATAGAGGGGTGAAAGTTCACGAAAATAAAAATGCAATAAATATAAAAATTTCTGTCTCCTAATCTATCTATCTTTCTTAACAATTCGCTCAATTCCGTACGCTTAATCACGCTTGAGATGCGCCTTAATTAAATGCGAACGTGCGATAGAGAAGGAAAGGTATGAGAGAAGGAAAACGTATATAAGAGAGCGTGTCGAGGAGAAGGAAAGGAGATTTTATTATGTGCGTGCGTGCGCGCGAAGAAGAGAAGTGCCAAGAGGAAGGTGCGAAATCACGCTTCCGCGACTTCTTTCTCCCGCGCCGGGAGGGTGCGCTTAATTGCGAGTTTAAGTAATTAGTACACAAAGTGGGACTTCGACGAGAGGGCCTTCTCCGCGGTTCACCTTTTTCCGCTCACCCCTTCCTCCCTCTCTCTCTCTCTCTCTCCCTCCCTCATTCGATTCCCTCCTGCATATTCGACGACGATCGCGTGTCGTCGCTTCTCGTAGCGCGTAATAATTGTTATACGACGGTGTCATATAATGATGTAATACACAGAGACACAAGCTGATGCGACTCGTTACGTGTTGCGAGATATAATATCGCGCGGGAATTATCTCGAAATTAGCAGGTTTCCCTTACGATGGAGAATCATGCGTGACTTAATGAAGATGTTTACCGTGAAGAGTACATCGACGAATCGTCACCTATCAAACGATACGTGGTTTCATAATAAGCGGTGGACCTAATTTTTCAAGTAATTAACGCTATCGTAAGACACGATTATATTTGCGATCAGAAATTTGTTCTGCGTCAGAAGCGCGTGTGTTAGATGTATCGTCACCGCGAGTAATTATAGCCTCGGGCGTAATGTCTTAATTTCCAGGTAGGACTGCGACACCATATGCACCATTTGTGCTAACCCGTCTCTTATCGCGTGCAAATGTTCAACACTTGCCTGAGGAGATAAGGTACGTCGTATTATCGTGCAGGAATGTCCGGCTCGGTGAATCGTGATGATGGCAACTTCGCAAAATATAGATGTCACGAAGAAAATCGCGATCGTTTCGAGATACATCGATAACGAGACGTTTACGAATCGTTCTCTTGCGAGAGGCTCTCGACAGTTTTTCCTCGATCTTCGTCTCGCTTCAAAATGGCCGCGCGTACGTATGTACACTCGACGTCACGAATATTTTCACGTTTGCAGTTAGCTATTTTCGAGTCACATCTAGATATTGACGCATCATGTT